ATTGAGTCTGAGCTCTCCTCTTCTGAAGATCCGTCTGGTTAGAATTTAGCCCTGATGAAGGGTGGTGGGGGGAGGGGGGGCGTCATCTACTGAAACATGTCGGCAGTTGTTCTGTGAACAGTTACAAGAATTTCAGACTTTTGGCACCTTTTTCGCACGTTTCTCTCTATTCTGCGCGGAGTCTCCGGGGGGCCGTCCGGGGCGGTTCCGCTCACCTGAAATCTTCCTTGCTGGAGTCCCGGCGCCCCCTCGTGGTTTCTTTCTGGGGTCCCCAGTATGGTTGTCACAGGTTCTGAGGGGCCATTTGCAGCGACAGGAGCGGTCATATCCGTTGTCTCCCCTCCATGAGAAGAGAAGCGGCAACTTCCTGTCAGTGAAAGTCATCGGCGTCCTTCAATCTTCCCGAATATCACAAATCTGACCTTCCGATTCCACAGAATTATTCACATCATAACAATGACGGGGCCCCGAACCTGAGATTCCGGGGGGCCCCTGACCTGCCACTGAGACGCCGAGCAGAACATTTCACTCCAGAGTTCCTTCGTAGTCTTGTGATGTCATTGTGTCCACGCAGACCGCAGGCAGCCCAGATGCAGCAACGCAGCCCCAAAACATAACCGAGCCCCCTCCATGCTTCACAGTAGGTACAGCGACATAACCGAGCCCCCTCCATGCTTCACAGTATGTACAGCGACATAACCGAGCCCCCTCCATGCTTCACAGTAGGTACAGCGACATAACCGAGCCCCCTCCATGCTTCACAGTATGTACAGCGACATAACCGAGCCCCCTCCATGCTTCACAGTAGGTACGGTGACATAACCGAGCCCCCTCCATGCTTCACAGTAGGTACGGTGACATAACCGAGCCCCCTCCATGCTTCACAGTAGGTACGGCGTTCTTTTCGTTAAAGGTTTTGTTTTTTCCCCTGTGAACATGTCAGAGTCCGTGTTGTCTGCGCGTGTGTGTGTCCGTGTTCTCTGCGTGTGTGTGTGCCCGTGTTGTCTGCGCGTGTCCGTGATGTCTGGGGTCCGGAGGACATGGTACCGGTACCGGTGTGATATGTATGTGAGGAAATCCCGGTCCGACTTTCTGAGTTTTCTTTCCTCCGGAATCTTCTTCCTTTGAGCGCGCGGTCCGTGATACAGCGATGATGTCATCAGACTCCGGAGTACCGGGGAGGGGAGACTGAGGAAATGCTTCCTCCTGCCTGCAGCAGACTGATCACTGTTAATGGAGATTTTCCGCACAGTGATCCTCTTGCTGTATATGGAGACATGTCAGGAATCCAGACTTGTAACGTAACAGGTCCACTTTAGGGGCCCATTCACACCAGGTTGAATAATTGGCCGGTGTGGCCCCAACGGATCCGGTGTGAATCTGTCAGTTAATTTACCATTTGACTTGTACTGGGATCAGCCAATCGGTGGGCAGCCTGATAATGAGCGCGATCATTGGTCTCCTCCATCGTCCTCATTATGGGGTCACCAGAGACCCGAACCCCTCATACATCTCAAATAGATACAATATGTCTGTGTGTATACCTGGGGGCGTGTCCATCGCCTGTATATAACTGGGGGCGTGGCAGGGGGAGTGTCCATCACCTGTATATAACTGGGGGTGTGACAGGGGGAGTGTCCATCACCTGTATATAACTGGGGGCGTGGCAGGGGGCGTGTCCATTTACCTCGGAATTCTATTTGTAATTTTCATGAAAAGGAGATTTGTGCTGAAAAAGTCCCTTTGACGTGAAAGGAAATAGTTGTGTGGGCGTGACAGGGGGTGTGGCCTTTACCGGTGTTATATTGCGTTCCTTTTTCCTATACAATGATGATAATAAAGATAATAACGATCCGAGTTTCTGTTCTCTGATTACACTCCGGGGAGATGTCTGCTCTGCGACACATGGAGGCGATTTCTGGAACCATTCCCCAAAGAAAACGTTGCTGTACTATGATGGTGACGGGTGTACATATTAGAGTGTAAGCTCCTCTGTACAGAGACTGATGTGACTGTGGGGGGGTGGGGGGGATTAGAGTGTAAGCTCCTCTGGTGCAGACACTGATGTGACTGGCTCAGTGTTCTCTGTACAGCGCTGTGGTATATGTCAGAGCTATATCACACCAGTGCTGATCCCTCCTGGGTGTATATCGGCAGCTCCTGGCAGGTGAAGGGTTAATGGCACGGTCGGACACCTGTGCGCTGTAAACAAACCGTCATGTAAATAGTATAAAGGCCGCAAAGTGGAAATTTGGCCTCATTGCCGCCATTAGAGGTGACGCACAGCGTACGTACAACACACGATGATTATCAGCTCCGCCATTGTCTCTGCTCCCGATATACACTATATCGCCAGAAGTATTGGGACGCCTTTACACGCACACGAACTCTAATGGCCCCCCAGTCTTAGTCCTTAGGGTTCAGTATTGGATTGGCTCCGCCCTCTAATGGCCCCCCAGTCTTAGTCCGTAGGGCTCAGTATTGGGTTGGCTCCGCCCTCTAATGGCCCCCCAGTCTTAGTCCGTAGGGTTCAGTATTGGGTTGGCTCCGCCCTCTAATGGCCCCCCAGTCTTAGTCCGTAGGGTTCAGTATTGGGTTGGCTCCGCCCTTTAATGGCCCCCCAGTCTTAGTCCGGAGGGTTCAGTATTGCGTTGGCTCTGCCTTTTGCCGCTATAACAGCTCCGCCTCCTCTGGGAAGGCGTCCACAAGGTTTAGGGGCGTGTCTATGGGAATGTTGGACCATTTGTGAGGTCAGGTACTGATGTTGGGGGAGGGGACGCCGTCTCCAAACTCCTCCCACAAAGTTGGGAGCATGAAATTGTCCAAAATGTCTTGGCGTGCTCTGATGCCTTAAGAGTTCCCTTCACTGGAACTAAGGGGACCCCCCCCTTTAATCCCCCTCCCCCAAACTTTACACTTGGCACAATGCAGTCAGGCAAGTACCGTTCCCTGGCAACCGCCAAACCCAGACACGCCCATGGGATTGCCAGACAGAGAAGCGTGATTGGTCCCTCCAGAGACCACGCCCCCACTTCTCTAGAGTCCAGTGGCGGCGTGCGTTACACCGCGGCATCCCACGCTTTGCATTGCACTTGGTGATGTGCGGCTTGGATGCAGCTGCTCGGCCACGGAAACCCATTCCATGAAGCTCTCTACGCACTGTTGTTGCGCCAATCTGACGGACGCATGGAGTTTGGAGGTCTGTAGCTATTGACTCTGCAGACAGTCGGCGACTTCTGCGCGCTGTGCGCTTCAGCATGCGCTGACCCCGCTCTGTCATGTGACGTGGCCTACCACTTCCTGGCTGAGTTGCTGTTGTTCCCGGTCGCTTCCACTTTGTTATAATCCCAGTAACAGGCGACCGCGGCGGAATGTTTAGTAGCCGGGAAATGTCACGGACGGACTTATCGCCCAGGTGACAACCTATCACGGCACTGCGCTTGTAGTCACCGAGCTCCTGAGAGCGACCTGTTCTCTCACCGATGTCTGTAGAAGCGTCTGCATGCCGCGGGGCCTCATCCTATACACCGGGGGCCACGGAGGGGATTGGAACACCTGAATCACATGATTTGGAGGGGGAGGGGCCAATACTTCTGGTTATATAGTGTACATCTACCAGCTGGAGGTGTAAAGTGATGAGGAGCCCAGTATAAGCGCAGCGTTCCAATATGGGCCCCCTGTGCGTGTTTCTGAGGATCTGATTGGATCTCGTAGAGCAGCGTCTTCTATTGATAAATACAGCGGCTGTACTGAGACGTCTTTCCCTGGACGCATGCTGCTCTTCCAATCCCGGGGGCCGATGTACATGAAGCCTCTCCATTGTCTCCTTCATTCGCAGGGTGAGGCCGTTATTACAGGCAGGGCGTGCGCGGCGCTCCCAGAGTCCCGGCAAGACGTGTAATTATATCCGCGCGTCGCTACAATACAAATATCAATTCTCAAATGAGATTCGTTATATAAGACACGAGGAAAGGGGCCGAGGCTGTCATGTGACCGGCCGCCGCCTGTCA